TTTTCTCTTCTATGAAGAAAGAGAATCTGATTGAAAGATACGAAATTGGGGGTTTTGCTCGGAACCCGATTGCCGGTGATCAGAAATCTGGTTGATAAAATTGAGTCTTGAAAGGGAAAAAAAAAAAGAAAAAAGGAAAAATACAAGTGATAGAGACTTGCTGTTTTTGGCAATGGCTAGTCCAGACGTCAAAGGATAGTAATCTTTCTCTGGTGGACCAATTTTCGTATTTTCCATTTTATCCGTCTCTTTCTCTCTCACATATAGAGAGAGAAAATCCCGTCAATTTCTCTCTTCCTCTCTCCCTTAAATTCATTCATTCATTCCTCTGTTTCCTTCCTCTCTTCTTTCTGGTTTTTTTTTTCCTTCTTTATTTTCTGAAAAAAGTTAGGAGAGAGAATCAGAGCAAAACTTGACTACCTCTCTTTCTCTCTCCAAATTATGTTGATCTCCGACAAGGTTTCAATGCAAACAAACCTTGAAAGCTTCTTGGATTGCACAACGCCCCTCGTCCCATCTCAATTCCTCTCCAAGGTTCTTTTTTTCTTATTCTTTACAGATCATCTGTCTTTTCTTTTTTAAATGTTATATTTGTGCCAGGTTTGTATAGTCAATCATATGTATCTACTTTTTGGTTGCATTAAATTGATTCAATATGATAATTTGGACATGTTAATTCAATTATTTAGGTTCTGTTTTTAATGGTTGACGATTTATTCATCGTTTCTCTCTGATATTTATATATGTTACCTGTTATCTGTGGTGGCATAGAGTGAGACTAGGAAGCTTAATAGGCTATGGCATCCTTGGGAAACAGAAAAGGTGGACTACTTTGTACTTGGTGATCTTTGGAATAGTTTTGATGAATGGAGTGCTTATGGTGCTGGTATTCCAATCACTTCAGACGATGGCCAAAATCTAATCCAATATTTCGTGCCTTATCTCTCTGCTATTCAAATTTTCACCAGCAATTCTTCTGTAAACTGTCTGAGGTAATGCCATATACAGACCTGTTAAATCAATTATGTACTTGTAGAAAATGATGAATATTTCATTTACCTCCATTTTTTTTCTCTTACTTTTTCTTTTTTTTTTTTTGGTTTACATTCATTCTATTAATTCTGATTGAATGTTATAATTCATAATTCAGTTTGTCCATGGTCAATTGATATATCTTTTGTTCTAATTTGTCACATTTGTATTGGATTATAAACGCTAATTTTTTCTAAGAGATGTGACACGTGAAGTTTTTCTTTTCAAAAGATGAAGACTTTGTCTTATTTGATCCTTTGAATTTGGGATAATAGAGAAGAGATCGACTCTGTAAGCGAGACAAGGGACTCATTTAGTGATTCATTCAGCGACGAGAGTGAATGCGAAAAGTTATCAAGGTGGGATGGATGTTCCTCTGAAGAAGGTGTCTTTGAGCAGGACAGTTTTTGGCTTCCGAATGATAGATTGGGTAATCTTTACCTTCAATACTTTGAGAGATCATCTCCATATGGTAGAGTTCCTCTAATGGACAAGGTATTTTTNTTTTTTTTTTTTTTTTTTTCTTGTTTGGCTATTACACTTAGCCATATTAATGCAAGTTTTTCGTTTTTCAAATTTTTTATATTAGCCAGTCCTGCTTTAATTGCTAGTAATACTGAAGAATCAATAAAAGGAGACACGCAAACTGTATGGATAAAATTGAATTGCATTCGAACACTTTTGTAAGTAGGCATATGGTAAAGACGAGTCTCTTTTGACAAAGACGAACCGACATACTTCTTCTTTTTTAGCCATTTCCTAATCAGAATACTATCCCAGTCCATTGTAGACCGTCTTTATTATTCCTTTGATTTGACATTTTTTGCTTGTGTGGTTAATAACCCCCCCTTTTATTTTTTGTAGAATATATTCTTGCCTTCATGTGTTGATATTTATTTTTTATTTAGTGATTACAGTAGCTAAAAATAATTTCTATGTCAAAAATTTGTCAACTTTTAAGTGGAGTCGACACAAACGCTAATGTCCTATGTTTCAAACCGTGTATTATATTTGCTTGCAGATTAGTAGCTTAGCTCAAAGATACCCTGGATTGATGTCTTTGCGAAGTGTAGATCTTTCGCCTGCTAGTTGGATGGCAGTTGCCTGGTTAGTCTTGGTTTATTTATCGAAGCTATATGGTTTTGGAAATTATTATAAACTCATTTAAGTGAAAAAATATATCCAGGTACCCTATCTATCATATTCCTACTGGTAGAACTATTAAAGACTTGCAAACGTGCTTCCTCACCTACCATACACTTTCTTCTTCCTTTCAAGGTATGAGCCATATATTTCTTATTGGCAAATGTCTTATTTCTTCGTCTAATATATCTAAAAGAAAAAAAAAAATTAAAACGTGGTAATTATGACAGATATGGACTTGGAAAACGATGTCAAGACGAAAAGAAAGGAAGGAGAAAGCATCTCACTCCCTCCATTTGGGTTGGCCACTTACAAGATGCTAGGAGATGTATGGGTATCGGACAAAAACGGGCATGATCGAGAAAGAATTGGGTCACTTTTGAGCGTGGCAGATTCTTGGCTAAAGCAATTACGGGTCCAACACCATGATTTCAACTATTTCATGGGAATACGACATGGCTAAAAAAAAGGGATTCTCTCTGTAAGATAAGATACTGAGACTTGAGAGTTTAATGTGCGTTTTGTTAATATATTTAGCGCAAGTGAGTGAGCTAATGAATGGGGACTTACTTTGTCCTATCTTTTAATTTAAACTTTAGTTTGCATGAGTCGGGCAAGGTTCGGGCTACATTATTGGCGAGGATGCCGGAAGTTCTTTGAGGATGTTAACTGTTAACTAGTTTTAGTGGTGTTTTTTCTTTTACTGTTTTTGGTGTAATGTGGAGAAGTTGTGGCAGATCAATGCTGCTTAAGGATTTGCACTCTGTGTTTTATTAGTAAAGTTTTCAGAAAATTTGTTAGCACATGTTCGGAGTCTTATGAGCTTTTTTTGTTTGGTTATTTTTAACTCCTCAGTTGACTGCTGCAGTATGAAGAATTTCCTTATGACATAAGGTTAGGTTAATTTTGACAAAAATTTTAATGGTTTGGGTTTGGTAAAAAACTACTACTTTTGCTCATGCATAGAATTTGATGTGAAGTTTCCATACGCTTAGAAGAAATCATGATGTATGGCTTGAGATTAATTTATACTTTATCCTTTTCATCTTTCAACAGTCAACGGAAGTCTCCAAATTTTCTCTAAACCAAACAATAACTATTGTTAAACTTTAACAACAAATTACTTTGTTGATAAATCTAAATTCCTGCTAGTCCTCTATGGCGATAACGACATGCATAAGAAGTATTTTAAACCAAACGTATTATGCAAAACTCACGTGACATTTCAGTATTACCAAATGTATTTTACAAAACTGATGTGGCAACTCATTATAGATTTTTAATTGAGGGAAATGGTTCCATTAAAAATAAAAAGAAAAGAAAAAGGTGAACAGAGAAATGAAAGTGATTGGTTGATAATAAACAAAATAAAAGTAAATGAATGGTGCAATTTTCATATGAAGTCATAATTGATATCATATAATGTCTTAGTACAATGGTGATTGATTAAATAATAGAGAAGTAAAAGAGGCAATGAAATCATCAACTGTTTTAGAGTTAGAAACAAATTATTTTTCTTTGTTGAATTTTCTTTGTTGTAGTCTAGTGCAGGTCTTTTTTTTTAGTCAAGTTTTTTTGGTTAGTTATGATTTTTAGCGTTTTCTGTTTTTGGTTCAGCTTATAGTTTGGTTGTGCTTTTGGGACTGAGAAATCTTCTAGGCTCTCCTGAGCAGTGGGGGTTTTCTCCTTTTGTAGTTGGGTTGCTGATTTTGGACGTGAATGCTTTCAAATTCTGGATTCAGTGCTAAGCATCTGCCTCATTCCCGTTAATTTTTTGTGCTTTCTTGGTTGCTATTTGTTATAGTTTTCCCTTAGTCTATCGGCAAAAATACACATCCACGTATTATTCCCTTAGTCTATCGACAAAAATACACATCCACGCGTTAAACCCACAACAAGACCAATTAAACGAGATTAAAGTTTTAAACGCAGATTTGTGGCCGCATAAAAGTTAATGTCCAAAATTACGCAACTAAAACAGAAGGAAGGAAAATCGGTGTGCAATCTTAGCTGATTCTCACCGAAATCAGCTCGCGATTTTTTTGGAATAAAAGAGATGCACCTAATAAGGAAACACTTTAAAGACTCCAAAGTAGAAAAAATCATTTCTATGGTATGGAAATGTAGAAATCGTGTCAAGAGGGAGTTTTCTGAATCTCGAGCTTGGGAACACTGTCATTCAAATCTCAAGTCGACATCGATCTGGGAGATTAAAGGTATATTTCGAATATTTTTCGTCTGATTTGAGGTAGCCAATGCTATTTTCATTGAACAGAATCCAAAAACAGGAATGTTATTTCATCAGATTGAAGGTGTATTTTTTTTTTTTTTTTTTTTTTTTTTTTTTTTTTTTTTTTGTATTAATCGAGGTTTTTTGTGTGGTAATTTGCAGCAAAATGTCGCCAATTATGGTGTTTTTTCACTACAATAGAGAATGGTGTAACAACACTTACATTGATTTCGAAGTTGGTGGAATTTCGGTGAATCAGACTACTTGTTTCAGAGATTTCACCAAACAAGTTGGAGATCTACTGAAGATAAACCAAATGGAATCAATGATGAGTTTTAAGTATCAGGTACGAGATGGATATCCAGCAATTAAAATTGATGATGAAAGCCTTGGATTCTACATGGATTTGAAGTCAATGGAGGCTGATTACACTAAGTTTCCAGTATGTGTGATTAAGGAACAGAAAAATGATTTGGTTCCAGTTCCACTCCTCATCAATGGCGATCACAGTGAAGTTGCAGGGAATGAGTGCATTGTTGCTGCTTTAGACTTTGATCAGTTTGACTATGGGGCTTCAAAGTCAATGAATTTTATGGATTTTGCAAGGGAAGCTGTCGAAGCCATGTCGTTAGCTGCATCAAGTATTGAACAACAACTGACCACATATGGAGTTGTTGATTCAACATCAGGTAATGCGGTCGAAGTGATGCACAATCCATCAGTTGGACATTCTTTTCCCAACAAAACAAGTCTGCAGAAAATGCTTGCGATGTATGCAATCAAGAACCAGTTCCAATTCAAGGTAGAAAAATCATGTCCTAAACAGTACTTCGTAAAGTGTCTATGGGATGGGTACAACTGGTTCATTAAATCATCTAGAGTAAGACAGTCGAGTATGTTCAAAATCCGGGAAATGGTGAATGATCACAACTGTCCATTTGAGGTGAGAACAAACATCCAACCACAAGCCACGTCAACACTTGTTAGTGAATGCATAAAGGAGAAATTCACAAACGTGAATACAAAATACAACCCTGGAAAAATTATACACGATATGAAGTTGACATATGGTATCGATTTATCATACAAAAAGGCATGGAGATCAAAGCGCAAGGCTCTAGACGAGGTACAGCGAAAACCGGATGAATCATACAAATACATTCATGAATACCTCCAAAAGCTCTGTCAGTCGAATTCCGGAAGCATTGTGAATCTATGTACTACTGAAGATAAACATTTCACGTACCTGTTCATGTCGCTAAATGCTTCGATCAAGGGTTGGCCACATTGTAGGCCTATCATTGTGGTTGATGGAACGTTTCTGAAGTCTACATACGGGGGGGTTTTACTCACAGCGTGTACGCAAGATGCAAATTCGCACGTACTCCCACTTGCTTTCTGCGTCGTGGACTCGGAAAACAATGAGTCATACTCTTGGTTTTTCAGCAAGTTGAAATCTTCCCTACCTGAGAGAGAGGGATTATGCATCGTTTCAGATGAACATTACAACATCAAATACGGCATATCAAAGGTAATTATGAAAACACCAGTATAGTTCTTCTTTTTATGGATGACCTGCAAGATAATATAAAATTAGTGTTGACTTTTGAATGATTATGTTCTGTACTTTATAAAATTTAAGAAGATGGTATATATCAAACAATATCATATATATTATATGATATTATTTTATATTTCACTTTACTATAGGTATATCCAGAAGCTTCGCATTGTTTGTGCGCTTACCATATCGCCAACAATTTGAGGAAGCACTTCAGAATGGAAACAATGGCAGTTAAGAATGAATTTATTGGAGTCTCTAGAGCATATACAAAGGAAGAGTTCAACAAGTACATGGTGGAACTGAAGAAGTTGGATCCAAGGGTACCAACGCATCTTGAAACTATAGGCTTCCACAAATGGGCTCGTAACCACTGTCAAGAAAATAGATACTTCACGATGACGTCAAACGCAGCAGAAACTATAAACTCGGCTACGAAAGTGGTGCGTGAATTACCTATAACAAAATTGCTTGAATATTTGAGATCAATACAACAAAAATTCAACGTGGCGAATCGAGAGGAGGCGAAGTGTATGTTTACTATCCTGACAAAAAAAGCAAACAATATCATTGAAGAAAATTACAAAGTGGCTTCCCGTTTGTTTGTAAGTTTATATTATGTTTATATTGAAGTAATTTAATAGAATAAGTAATCTATATAAAACTGAATTTGTGGATGAAACTAAATTTGTGTATATGCTGACTGGTCCAGATGGCAAGCGACCAAGTTTATAAGGTGTATAACGACGTGTATTCACATGTCGTCAATTTGGATGCCAAGACGTGCACTTGCAATCGATTTCAAATGGATGAGCTACCATGTCCACATGCCATACGTGTCATCCGGTCTTTACATATTGATCCAATGCCATTTTGCTCTGATTACTACAAGACGACGAACTTTTTGGAGACGTATGCTGAAGCAGTTTATCCTATCGAAGGTTCGCAAACATTTGATGCTGTGGACAATAAAAAACAGAGAATGGTGCAACCACCTATAGGCAGAGAGAAATCGGGGCATAGGCGAAACGAACGAGACAAGTCTGCATTTGAGGCTCCTAAAAAGAACAAGTGTGGAAAATGCGACGAGAGGGGCCATAATGTAAAGACCTGCCCAAATCCTACAAAAATTAGAGGAGATAACCATTGATGATACTTTGTTGAAGTTGCAGGTTTTATTTTTCAATTATTTTCAAAGTTGATGCTCTGTTGATCTAATTTGATGTTATGTTGGGGACTACCAGTTAGGTGCTTTGATAGTTACAATGAGTTTGAGGTTCTGGACATAACAAGTTTTTTTGTTTGTTTTGCTTAATGTGAGTAAATCTATGTGATTCTATTTTAGTGTCGACAAAGAATATTTTTTTAGTGCAACAGAGTTGATATACTGGTTTTACATATGTTGCGATTGGTCCTTGACATTGTGTTATATTGGTGGTATCGATTTTTGAACTACATTTGAAAATCGGTATGTATGTAGAGTAGTAGTTTGATATTTTGATATTAGTGTAGTTATGTATAGATTTGTATGTAATTTGATTGTTAAGATACTGTTTAGATTACCCAAAGAGAAACTCAGAAAATACTAAAAGTAAACACCAAATGGACACATGAGATTCTGATAGCAACAACCATGAAAAATCCTAAAAATAATGCAAGAACAACAACAAAACGTGCCAAAAATATTGTCAATTCAAACAACTACTAAAAATAAACCAGTTATTCATAATAAAACCATCATCTTTTTCACAAAATATAAAATAGTTTAGAAATTCCATAAATAAACACAAAAATTACACAAGTACAAAAATATTGGGACCTGATAGTTATTGATAGACATGAAAAATATTACAAGTAAAATACAGAAATATGTTACTCAGTAAAATATACTACAAGTAAAATACAGAAATAATACAAATATTACTTTGCAGAAAAATGTAATACAATACATAAAACACCAAGAAATAAACCCGATAACATGTCCAACATATTCCATAACACACCATGCCCAAAAGGAGAAACACCAGAGTTTAGTTTGTCTACATAGCCTGACAAAAATACATGATAGAAAACAATGTCAATCAACATCATTCAACAACATTAAATTCCTAATGCTAATTAGTAAAGGGAACTACTAGTGAACTTCGATAATTTGCCGGCAACAGACCCGGCGAATCATCATCACTCTCGAAGTCTTTTTCCTGCTTCATTTTTCCATGGGTGTACAATAGGTTTGAAAACCTTAACTGCTCGACATCAACGTCAAAGGTATCAGGATTGATGGGCTCATTAGAAACAAAATACTCCGCAAAAGCAGCAACAAATGCGCCACAATCACTGGCAAGAATGTAAACAAAAAATACAGAAAAAATGTAAATAATAGTTAAATAAAAAAGAACATATCAAAGTTGTAAACTAAATTAAAATACAACTTACCAGCATTGCTGCCGGGGCAAATCTTCCACGAAAATGACATCAAGAGGATCATTCTCTGCCTTTCTCGAGTATGGACCAATATTTGTTTTGATGTCAGCACGTCTAGAGACAAAGTGTACCAAAGCAAGAAATATGGGTATCAATATGGAATATCGCTTAACACTCTCTAGCACAACCTGGTCAAAATTAGTCGATCGATAGGAGTTATAAATCATCAACGTCCTAGTTGCGAACGACAACCTCCCTAATATCCAATGGCCTACACCTTGCAATTCAATATGAATCGGAAAGAGTACGTGATCAACATTGAGCCATGACTGCCCACAGATAATTTTGAAGCCAAACATGTAGTCGACAATGACACTATTGATCGTACAAATCCGGGAGTCACATGAGTTAACAATGTATAAAGAATATAGTGACTTCATTTGCTGGTCAAAAAAATTATCAGTGGTAGTAAATTTCTGAGACGGTTCAAGCGCATACAGCCCAATCTTTCGAATGTAGTAGAACAAAACATCAATATGCTGAAAAATAAATATTTAATAATTAGTATGCAAAAAAAAGAAAAAAAGGATGAAGACAATCACGGTTAAATGATACTTACACTACCATTAAAGAAACAGTCGGATTCACACAAGGTGTAAAACCAATTCTTATCAGAAATCACGGCAACATTAAAATCAAATGGGGGGCTTAAGGTTGTATGCTTCTTGTCATAGAACACGAATCTTTCATAAGATGAATTAAATTTAAAATAAGAAGAATGAACAAATGAATAAATGTAATAAAAACAACAAAATGAAAGTACATACCCTTCATTTTTCTTACGCCTCTTCTTAAGCTTACCCACCTTGAACACTTAATTAAATCATCAGTTACATAAAAAAGGATCGTGTCCCAAAATTCGGTGTCGAAAGGGCATGACTTACAAATAACTAGTCCTTTTTTTACACGTTTGCTTTTCTCAAATGGAATGTCGACTACCGGCACTTGATCACCCGCATTCTGGTTAACCTATGAATAAAATTTTTTGGTTTATTTTTAGGACATCGAACAGTAAGATAAACTGTGAATAAACTTTTTGATTTCAATTCAAGGAAAACATGAGGTTTATTTTTAGGACATCGAATGGTAAGATAAACTGTGAATAAACGTTTTGATTTCAATTCAAGGAAAACATGAGGTTTATTTTTAGGACATCGAACGGTAAGATAAACTGTGAATAAACTTTTTGATTTGAAACCTTATGCACATCCACTGCACCAACACCAACTAGATAATTGAATATATAAACCTACACACACACACACACACACACACATTTGTTCAAATACTTTAATTTACAAATGAGTATAACCACAGATAAACCACAAATAAACCAACAAAAAACAATATGCATAAACAAGGATTACTGATTTGTTGGCAGTTTGCATGCTTTTCAATTTCCCTTCGGTCGTCCTATCAATCTCATCAATAATTTTTGTAGTCCAAATAGGGAAACCATCATCATCAAAATCTTCATTACGTTCACCACTTCCTTGTACAAACTGAAAACATATCAATCAAATAAAAAAAGAATTACTGATTTTAAATGTAGACAAAGCTGTGATCATAGAAATAAAATCTAATAATTAGACTTACAACTCCATCATCAACTTTCTTGTAGATCCCAACGTTTTCTTGTTGACGACTACTTCCTGGAACTCGTTAGGCTTATCACCCTCTCCACCATTTAATCCCTTAAAAAGTAAACATAGTTAACTTAGATGAAAAATAAATAATGAAAACGCTGATGATACAGAAATACATTTAACTTAGATGTGTTTTGTCAACAAGGAAAAATGGTAGATTGAGCATAAACCGTTCGAGGAATATCTTGGTTATCCACATCACGGTGGAGGTCTTGTTGTTTACCACTTTCTTCACGCTGATACATAGTTAAGTGAAATATTAAAAAAAGAAACACATGTATATATATGTAAAAGTAAACCAACAATAAACGAATTATAAACTTACCAGCTTTGTTTCTTTAAGACTGAGGATCTCATGCATCACTTTAGTCAAAAAGTCAGTAAACAACTTCTTCAGATCATCCAAATCATCCATAATCTTCACTTGCTTTGAAGACAGCTCGTCTAAACGTTGTATAATAGGAGACTCGGTTGGACTGGGAACAGGGAATGTAGGAGAATTTTTAGTTTCATTACGGAAGAACTAGTTCCTTTAAAAAAAAAAAAAAACCGTCCAGCTGAAGGGTCATCTTCTACGATTCGGTGAGAGTTATATTTTTGAACTGAATGGATAAATACACATTAAAAAATAAAACAACTTAGAGCAATGTTGTGAAAAGATAACTTAATAATAAAATATTATAATAAGGGGACTAAGAGAAACCTTATCTGATGGCAAGGTCAAGAAAACTCTCTCGATGGATCGTCTACCACGTGTCACATGTACCTCCCAATTTAACATCTGTGGTACATTAGAAACTGAAAGACAATACATATGACTCCATCTATGCTATGACACACCTCATAAAACCACAACTGGAGTGATAGAATAAACCCTCGTATCCTATATACATATACTATTTTTTCAGTGCCCTCTAATTGCTGCAGCAAAGTCTCCTTGTTACGAGACGACATCTTTAGATAATCTATGGTGTAGTCGTACACCTCTTTACCCCACGGATAATTATCACAGTCTTGGCTATCAAGAATATCTAACAAACACCTATCAAACAAAAGATTATCTTGAGCCCCCATGAGAAAATTTGCGAGCAAGTGAAGCTTGGCAAGTTTGACTGCATCATGGTCGTTTATCCACGCTCTGTTAAGAAACTGCCCTTTAATAGAATGACGGGACAAACCAACATTGGCAAAATATCTGTCAAAAAGACCATCATGGACAGGAGGAAAACAAAGTTTTTTACACGAGCCATTACATTTCAGACCACTTATCACAGCGAACTCCTCGACCCCAAATCTCATGATCTTCCCATCAAAGTCAAACCACAGTTCATCCAACCTCGGTTGGTGTACTTCTCGTAATGAAATCAAATTGACAAGTTGGTTCTGAACCATACAATGAGGTAGGTCGATAAATTTACCAAAAGCAGAATTTCTAAACACCTCCAATTGATCATTCGACAACAGACGCTTAATGTCAGCAATAGGCATGGTAGAACGACTGTTATCATTGCTGTTGATTATCTTCACAGTCAATGCTCTTGAGTTTGGAACAATCAATTCCCAATCCTAATAAAAACAACAAACAATTGATACCGACAATAACACTAAAACATATAGGCTAGATCTAACTAGTTTATGCAGACATAAACATTGGTACCTACAATGACATTCTTTTCTTATCAACATGCATAGCAACAATTTTAGTGAGAATCAACAAAAAACATGTATAGTAATAATTTTAGTGAGAATCAACAAACAAATGAAATAAAAAAAATGGACAAACTTAAACATAAATTATAAGAACACAGATAGTAGGAAACATACTTATAAAGGAAAAAATACCTTGTGTACTCGTTGGGGTTTATTTCTGACATCTTCATCGTGAAGCTCGGAACAAATCGATTTATGCCTATGTGTGTTGCTCTTGAACCTCCTCAGTACTAATTTGCTAGCCTCAGAGCCATCCTCACTTTCTTCTTCGTCCAAAGAAATACATTGTTCAACTTCAAAATCAGAATCGATGTCTTCTGGATATTTAACCTTCCTCTTCCCCTTAGCATCGCCCTTGACCTCCATTGGATTATTTTGAGAAAATCATTTCTTCTGAGCACTAGAACGAGTAATCGGGCCTCTGATATGCGATTGTTCTTCCACAAACGACTTTCTCTCCTTGGGTCTACTGATTCTTCTTGCCAAACTGAATTTTCTTTTGAACGAGCCTTCGACGCTCGGGAACTGCAACGTTGCAATGCTTTTGCTCCATAGCTCCTCTGCCTTCAGATGAAATATCAGAGACATAGTTTTCATCCTTCTCTCTTGCCATCTAGATCGAGATTTGTTTCATAACTTTGCTTTGAACATATTAGAGTAGGATGAGAAGAAAAGGTAATTATCAATTCCACTGCAACTTTTTGATATGCGTGTGTGCAGGTTGGGTGTTTTGGTGGAAGAGATAATTTCAGAATCTCAATTAATGATAGAGTTACCGTCTTTATTCAGATAATTAATGATTAATTAGAGGTGGGAAAGTGGGATTGAATTTTTGCATAATTTCATAATTGGAGCTTCATAAAATCTGATGTGCGAAATATTTTGGAATCTCGTAGAATGGGCCACATAAAAACCTAGGCTCGTGCACCGGGTAATTTACTCTTGTCTATCTTGGGATATGTCTAATGGGCTATTTAGCCCGCGAATTGTACTCTCTTGTTTCCGAGTAGTAATATCTATCGTTTCGGAAAAAAAAAAAGAAACAAATTATTTTTTAGGGAATAATTTAGTTTTAGTTGTGATATAGCCAACATCCGGCTAGACTGAACCGCCACTAAGTAAAACAGGCTGACTGCCCGAGAGTTTGCCTAGTCATCTTGTTGAGTGAATCATGTATACAGGGGAAGGATTGAATCGACTAGAGGTTTGGTGGGCGACTCGGTAAGGAGCTCACGACTTAAACCAAGGAAACCTGGTGTGGTTCAACTGAGCGACCTAAACTACTGAGGTTTGTCGACCTCTAACATGACGATCTAAGGGAATACGACCCGACGATACTTTGAGACCTATGGGCACTCGAAAACCTGGGTCAAAGGAGACCTAATGAAGGTAGATGGGAATCTAATCAGAAGGAATCTAATGATGATGAGCATGAGATCATGATAAGATTAAATCTCGGGCAGCTAGATGGTTACGGGCAGGGTGACCGGGGCAGATAGGCAACCTGGCCAGCTAAATCTTTGGCACCAAGGTATTCCCCTAGAAATGTGGACTGAGGTACAACTATCAACTCTCTACATCCTCTACACTATCGGATATACAAACATCTACATACATGTTAGTACTTAAATCTTGATTTTTTGCGTAATAAACACTATCTTTATGTTGAACTAGTATTCGACCCTGTGCAAATGCACAGTGTAAATAGAATATTATAAGTTACATTTATGCATATACTATTAAAATTATAAGTTATACAATGATATTATATTTTAAACATAGAGTATTATAAGTTATATTTATGCATATAATAATAAAAATATAAATTAGATAATGATATTATGTTTTAAAATTTGATTATTGGTTAAAATAAATAGTATATAACTATTTGATTGCATATGAACCACTATATTAATCACATAAAACATAATAAATAATGTAATTTTGAGAGGTCGTCAATTTATTAGCTTAAAAATATTAAATTTATTATAACATTTGATTATGCGATTTTAAGGAATTTTACTATTTCATTAAAATAAATTAACTTATTTAAAAATACAATCGCTAAATAAGATAAAAAAAATATAATATTAATTTTAGAATAAATAACTTTAGCCAAAAGTTTACAATAATTTTTTATGTTTATGTAACTTTCATATATCATTTATTGTAAATTATAGTTATTAGTTTTAATATTAACTATTACATGATATAGTAAAATAGTATAATTATTACTCCTTTAATATAAAATGTAACGGTTTTTGTCTTAATTAACCCTAAAAAAGTGCAATGAAATATTTTATCATTAATAGTAGTAGTATAGAAGATTGTAACATAAAAAGATGGTAAACAATAATTAATATTATTAAATTTATTGTTAGTAATTAAATATATAGAGAGAGATTTAAATAATAAAGTTTGTAACGGTTTTGGAGGGAAATTGAAATGAGGTTTTATTAAATGTTTTATTAAATGCTATTCGCCAGCGATTATATATATATAGATGAGAATCATGTTTAATTAAATTGTTTTGCGTTCTGATGTTATACATTTGGATATTGTGGTTCATCACGGATGGACAGAAGAACACATATTTGTTACTTGTAAAACATAAATAATAATGTTCACAACCTAGATGGAAATGAACGACCTATCGTGAACGATTGTAGTGCTAATTGTATAGTCTGTCTTGACTGATTGGTTGCACTAGTACACTTTGTGTACTGAACGAATCCCAGAGAGGACAAGTTTGTCTTATACTGATCGAGTAAACAAACTAGACCTCGGTTTAATTACTGTGTACTTTTAACCCGTAAGATTAAATAGGCACATGCATACAATAGCTGCTACTTTCATTCACTAAAAAGTGGGACTCAATTTGTTGAGTCAATGGTCTGATATGTCTTCTGTAATGATGTTGTGTGTATGGTGTGTCGTTGGAATATTTATGGAGATACTTCGACAATGTCTGCGAGATGAGCTCAAGAAAGATTATTAAGTTAAATCCTGCAGGTGGATTAAGTTCCGACATAATAATAAATAATTGAGTGGTACTAGTCTCGACACAAGAAGTCAATTAATTATATTATCATTAATTAAATTAACTGACGAACATTATATCTTAAACATGGGAGATAAATTGAGTAAGTATTATGTGAGTCTCAAATGTAATTTGGAAGCCAAATAGGGAGTGCAGCGATATTTCTTTAGTAGACTGAAGTGTCATTAAAGTATGAGCAGAGTGGGCTGGGCCCATAGTTATGCCAATACTTGGGAAGCCCATATTTGACACCTCCTTAGGGTTCCTGTTGTAGCCTATAAATACATAACTTCTCTTGTGATTACAGCACACCACAACATTACATACTCTAGAATCCCAATCGAGAGCTCTTCGTCTCGTCGCCCACCAAGACATACGAAGAGTTGTAAGATACTACAGCAGAAGTCCCGAGGTCACCTGCGGTAAACCCAAGACGTCTACAACTACCGCCGAGCTCTGAGCCCCTGCTCGTCAATCCACCACGACGCTCGCATGGAGCGAGCAACCACACGTAGTACACATGACCAGTGACGTTGATGCGAGCCCGCACACGCACGACATAGTCAACTTGTGTGCATCCCCGATGACATTACGTGTTCCTGGTGACCGTCGAGCCATCAGATGTACACGAAGTATGAGGTGATAAGAACTTATCATAACCATTCATCTAGCCTCGTACACTGTGTAAGTTTGTACAAAGACTACAAGTTTTAAGTCGTAAGTGCTCAGACTTAACTTTAGTCTGCTACGCTTTAGGCTTTAATTTGTTCTGTGACTTGCATGATTCGACGTTCCTATAGAACCCCAAAAAGTGGTACCGGAGCACTTGGTTTAATTTGTTTTGTGAAAAGTTCTGATCTTGAAGGCTTTATGTGATTTACGTGCATAATTGTGTTTAAAGCGCGGTTGTATGTTATATTGTGTTGCATAACTCAATTTTTCAGGTGATTAGTTAATCCACTATTATGACTTTGGATGTATGTTTAAATTTGTGCATGTTTTTTAAAGCCTCGGACATGTCGAAGAATTTTTTGGGTTATGATTGCTTGTAATAGTTTATTTGTGTAATTTATCTTATAAATTTCTTGGTGCTTGCGGCGAGCTCGGACAACCACGAAGATCAGACTGCAATGACCGGCGAGCCGATACTCGACGATCTCACGGGTAGCAGGTGCGCACGGGCCTCGGACAACACCCTGTTGGCCTGTAGGTGCTTGACCAAGCGCAGGCCACAGCTGAGTCGCGAAGAGGCTGTGAGATGGCGACCGATGGCCCTCGGTGACAGAAGAAGAGCAGCACGCAAGATTCTCGTGAGGCACTGTGACGCGACAACCCAAGGATTGCGCGTGCATTGTCCCAGGCGTCACAGAGCGCATGCATGCCAAGCTCTTGAGCTTCTGCGCGACAATTGCAGCGACGCAACAGCGATGCTGAAGCAAGTCATCAATAAAATGGTTTGTTCAGTATTGTGAGTTTCAAGAATTATAATTACTATTCTAATATAAGTTTAAAAAAATATATAATTTTTTGATTAATTAGTTTGTATAATTATATAATCAAAATGTAGAATTATATTAGGGAAAACTACACTTTGCCTACCGAACTATCCGCATTTTTACACTTTGCCTACTCATCTTTTTCCGGTGACACTTTACCCCTTGAACTTCAAATATTCTTGCACTTAATGACTTCTGGCCACCGGAGATGCAAAATCAAGGGCAACAGAATTTGACATGTTGATCGCACGTAGTTGAGATTGTCTAACACATACGTACGGTTTTTATACATGGTGAATCGAAGGTCAACCTCAACTTTCTTATGAGGCCCTCCTTCTAGCGCCAAACTGTTGTTGTATGAAATTAACAACTCAAATTAACAAACAACAAGGTGTATTTAAAAGGAAATAAACGTAAAATTGTATTTTATTGATTAGTTCACGAGAGTACAGGAAATCCGTTTTTTGTTCTAAACCGAGATATTTTAAGTCCATGTACAATGTGCGAAAATCAGATCCCCGTACAGTCATAAATTCTGCTATTTATAGTATGGTTGTTTTTGTCTTCTTGTCCGAGGTAGATTAGATCGCATTAAACGTTGAGCTGCTTCAATTAAAGCGGCGTGTTATGCAGTGAGGGAACATCAATGATTATTCTTTGACTTGATGGTCCAATTAAAAACGCACAGCATCTCTTGCTTTGGAATTCGATCTTCTCGGATGTTGGATGATGGGTAATCATTAATGTAGATGATTGTGAAGTCTTTGAAGTCGGTCTTTGGGTTTTGATTGACAGTCGGTTCTTTTTAAGCCGTCCAGAGGTCGGTAATTTGTTTAGCTGCACCGACTTAAGCTAAGTTTGGTTATTTCTGAAGGGCTTTTAACGGGACAAGGTGATGGGTCTTTAACTAATCACATGAAACCAAGTCGAAACCAAGTCGGTCATCAACAGTTAGATGGTGATCAATCAACTAACCCTATAATTCACACAACTCACATAGATTGAACAAAACACATTTCTCCCAATTCAAAACAAGAATCAAAATCCCTAACCCTAGGCGAATGGATTCCCTCATGCTTAGATTCAATTTATGTTAAGCGGAATTAAGAACATAAAACCAATCAACAATAATAAAATAGAATTGAAAAACTTACAATCGGATTAAGAGTTACAAGATTTCAATCCAAATATCTTTGTGTCCAACAATCCAAGCATGAGAGAAAAAAAAAAAGCGGAGAAATTTATCCTAATACTATTGAGTTTTTGGAGAGAAAAATTAAAAGGAACGATATTGAGGATTGTTGCTTAGGTCTGGGGGTCGTTTTATATATAGAGCTCAAAAAGCAGAGCTAAAACAAGAAAAAACGAGCAAAATAAAAATTAGGGCTGACTCGGTCGCGACTCACGAGTCGCCCGGGTCGCTAGGCTGGCAGTAGGGCGTGCGCGCGCGGGGCAGGTCGCGGGTACAGCTCGCGGGTCGCGAAATTCTGGGAATTTCTCTGTTCTTTTTCGTGAGTCGTGAGTCGTGCGCGTCTGGGCCTAGGCGTGGGGTTTGTTCGTGGGTCGCGGGTCGCGACCCGGGCTGCACTGCGCCATTTTACGTTTTCACCTCGTTTGAGCTCGTCCGAACTCGGAATTGAGTTCCGTTTTTTCCTACGCGTCACTAATGAACCCCTCTATTGAATTGTCCTCTCGAAACTAATTTTTCCTGTTGAGAAAATTCTCCCAAAGCTCCCGACCTACACACCAAAAATGACAAAACACGAAGAAAACCGAAAAAATAAACGAAAAACACCTAATGACTCAAAATGAAGGAAAACACAGAATAAAACACAAAACGGACTAAAAACAAAATAAACGACCTAAAATGGGGAAAAAAGAAAAGCAAAACAAGAACGAAAAATATAACAAAAATGGGACTAACAGCCGTTGTCGGGGAAGGTTTAGCACTTATTTTGTGCGCTTATTCACTTTGTTTTTCATGTTTCTCTTCATTCTTGTGTTTTTCCATTGTTTTAGTGTTTCTCTTTGTTTGACTTTTTTCTTAGTTGTTTCTATTTTTATCGTGTTACTTTTTGTTTCATTTTTTTTTTGTCTATCATTGGTGCTCGTAACCCGTTGTTTGTTTGAGTGTATGCATACCAGGAGTGGACGTATACTATCTCCGATCAACAAATCCTTCACGAGAGCTTGAAGGAGCTTTTGGACGACCTTTTTCCCGAATCATCCCAAGTAAGCAATCAGGACATGATTAATCAAGAACCTCCTTGTGACCTCCTCCGAAACTTGGCCCAACTGATGATCGGACCAATCACTTCATGTATTCGGTTGGGGCAAGCTGCACGAAATTATAAGCTGAAGATGGTCCACTACAATCAGTTGCCCTCATTCCATGGACTCCCCAATGAAGACCCGCTTCATTTCATCTGGGAATTCTACAATGTCCTCCAGAACTTTCCTCTTCACGGGTTGAACTAGGACGAGCTAAAGATGAGATGTTTTCTAGACACCCTGAAGGACAGAGCCAAGGCGTGGTTCATGACTCGCACCAGATTCTCACACAACTTTGGCAGAACTGTACTTTAAATCATTGGGAAATACTACTCTCATCAGAAGACCCAAGATATCCGGTCCCAAATTGTCTCTTTTGCTCAATTGCCGAATGAGCCTCTTCACGAGGTCTGGGAGCGATTCAAGGACCTCCAACGGCAGTGCCCACATCATAACCTCTCTCTGGGGCTCTGGGAAAACTGCTTATACGACTCCATCCACCAAAACTTGTAGTACATGGTGGACAATGCAGCTGGAGGGGACATCGGGGCGACAACAGCCGAGGAGATGATGGGATATATTCGAGACGATGAGCACGAACTCGTCCTCACCAAGCAAATGAGCTTCACCGGTTCAGACCATGGTCGAGAGTGTGTGCGGTGCATGCTGATTTCAGGGACACAGTTCTGAGATGTGCCCATCGGCTATCGAGTCGAACTATGGAGGACAGAATGCCGAGGTGAATGTACTGCAGGGGTATCAGAACCGGTCTAGAAATGAGCCCTACTCGCACACATATAACCCAGGGTGGCGAAACCACCCGAACTTTTCATGGGCCAACAACAATTATCAGCAGTCGCCTCAGCCCATCTTTGTCCCCCAGCAGCACCAAAGGGGACAAATGATGGGGATGCCAACTCAGGGAGTCTGACCTAGCCTACCGAGCATGGTCGACAAGCTGAACAAAATTCTCAATTTCATCACAAATCTGGATGCGTCCATTAAGCGTCTTGAGATGCAAGTGGGACAGTTTGCCACACAAGTCGGAAGCAGCGAGGCTGAATTAAATGAAGGAAAATTGTGAGTCAATCAGAAGCTAGAAGAGGATAATGAGGGCCCGAGGAAGAAAGAACAAAAAGAAGAGGTCCCGGTGACACTGCCTGTAATATCCCTTTCAGTTATCTCAGTTATTATGAGTTATTGTTTCAAGAAATAAGTGATTTCGAGTCCAAGATAGTAAGTTATCGGACCGAAATTAAGAATTTTCAAGGAACAAGCCACACGAGTCGTGTGAAGTGACACACGAGTCGTGTGAAGCCACACGAGTCGTGTGGAGAGGCACACGAGTCGTGTGGGATGGAGATGTGATGAAGGTTAGCCTCGGGATTTTGACACGAGTCGTGTGATAAGCCACACGAGTCGTGTGAAGCTACACGAGTCGTGTGATATAGTACACGAGTCGTGTGAGAAGATGAATGATTAAGAGCAAAAGTGTCGGCAAAGCCACACGAGTCGTGTGGCATGGCACACGAGTCGTGTGAGGCCACACGAGTCGTGTGACTCACTCACACGAGTCGTGTTGCCGACAGTCCAATTGGATTATTGAGAATTCGATTGTGACTTTAACCAAAGGCCATTTTTGATGTTTAAATATGCTTTGGATGGATGAATAAGTAAATCATAAGATATTTTAAAGATTATTTAAGTTTATAAGTTAAATTTTATATTATGATCATTTAATCACTCTATTTGGATGTTTCTCCAATTTGTGCCTATAAATAGAGGCTTAAACCTTAGAGTTTTTACACCAAAATAATTACTAAAGTCATATGAGTTTGTGAGAGAGAGTGAGAAGGAGTAACTTTGGAGAAGTAAGGACATTAGAGTGAAGAATCAAGTTTTTAACTTCACCTAGAAGGAGGTAATTTACTTATCTTAATGTTTCATATTTGAGTTCATGCTTTTATGATAAGTTTACATGTTTATGAGTATGTATATCATGATGTAGAAGTTGGAGTTTATAATTGATAAAATGAGTTAAAGATGTTAAAGATCAATTATGTGATATATGTGCTTAATGAAATGAGATGTTGATTTGCATGAGATTTTCATGAAGATATGAATATGCTGGAAAAGTATGATTTAAATGAATAATTCTTGTGTAAAAGAGGAGTACATGAGATCAAGAATTGAGTGATTTGGCATAGTATAACTTAAGTTATGAATTTTTGAAGATGAACATGTAAGATGAAGTTTATGTTCACTATGACTTTAAATTCTCATAACTTGATGAATATGAATGATTAAATTATGAAATTTTGATGACATGTCTATTTAGAAGTTGAGATTATGACTGTTAAATTTCATAATTTAAAGATGAGAAATGAATGAGTTATGAATATGAGATGGCATATATGTGAAGATGAGTATATATATATACAAGAATATTCATGAGATGATCAAGATATTAAAATGAGATTTTTATGATCTATTCTCATATGAGTGATGAGTAAATTTGATGAAGATGGTTTAATATGTTGAGCATACAATTTTATAAAAATTGTATTAAGTATGGCATATTAATATCATGATTGGATGTGATGTTTAAA